GAGTTTCCGTTTAATCTCGCGATTTCTATGATAATGGTACAATTCGACGATTGCTCTTTAATATTCCCGACTTTTACGTAATCTCATCTGCCTATTGCATTCACTTCCACCGTTTTCGACGCAAGACAGTTCTATGGTGGAATGTCGGTCACGTACCGGCAAATGAATTCCTAAAATCGTGTCCCGCCATAAACGCAAAACGTTTTACACCCGAGAGCTACGAGGCACGGTTCAAACTCGGTGGGCGACGCTTTAACAAATTCGGGATGTAATCGCGTCCAAGTTCCCGCGTCTCCTTAGCCGTTGCTTAGTTACGTAGTCTGGGAACGCGTCTCGGCAACTCCGCTCAGACGAAGTTTCTAATCCGCAAATCGTTGCCTAATATACACACGCCCGGTAACGCGGAGCGTGCTTAAGGGCTATGGTTTATACACGGTAACTTTCGGACCCCGTTTCTTCGACCGTGCAATATTTGCTGGAGTAATTCCCGCGATATTTAAGCGACTGGCATGTTTAGCGTACAAACAAAATACTTCGCGCGACGCTCGAGGCAACGTTGACGGAAAGACTCGGAAAGCAAATAAGGAACGGAAAACTACGTTGCTGGAAAAGTGTGTTAGCCCCAGTTTGCATATCGCTTTCGAATTGACTTGCTTTCAAATTATGCGATCTTCTAGTGTGATCCAATAATTGCTACCAAAAATTCATGTTGTAGAAAGTATTAGCGTAAGATATTGTAAAAATAAATTTTCGTTGAAAAGCTGCCTGAACAGAATTATAATTCATTTAGAAATTCGCCTACTTTGATTTTTAAATGTTAATAGGTATTTTAATAAAGATGATCCGTTATCGATACAAGAATTATGAAATTGCGGTTTATAGCATTCTAATAATCAGAGAAAGGTTACCCAGGTTTCGATCTTTAGGGGCGCCATTGTTCCTCCGGAAATTATCGCGATCTCCTGACGTTGCTGTGGGTAAGCAACAGTGTGTACAGTAGAAAGTTCCATAGAACACGGCGTGGATCTTTGCCGAGACCGGGCGCCGCAAGAAGTCCGTAATTATAACTTTGCAGTTACGTTCATAAAATCGCAATGGTAACCGTAAATCGCGGCATTCTGGACACTGGAAACAGGTAAATGAGGTATGCAGTGCACAAACACGTGTTACTATCATTTGCATGCATCAGCAAAAACAGAATCGCAGTCGTTTCGACGCTTCGTAATTTTGAAACAAAAATTACGTGTACCATTGAAAAATACAGGTACTATGTATGTACTTTTCCGGTTTCTATACAAATATTTCATGCAATATTTAACGTTCACTGTTGTTTACATTGTCTGAATATTGATAATTAAAGTTATCTCAGTGATTCCAGCTCACTACACGTAGCATTATTAATTAAAACTGCAGCGTTCCATATATGCAGGAACTTTGAGAAGAAACGCATGTACGTCAATCAATGTCGTCGAAACTCTCGTCATTTGGTTGATTTCGCGACTAAATCTGGAAGACTTGCATCAATAATCACCTCACAGGAGAAAAAGGAATTATACATTCATCGTGTCCAATGTTAGTGAGCGCAAAATAGTATTTGCCATTCTGTAATCCATATTCACCGAATCAAATTGAACAAATTGATTAAATTCAGTTTGACTGGTCAGATACCTTTAGACAAATAATTCAGCTCAATTTACTATTCCCAGTAATTCGTTGATGATTCTCGTAATTCATCTGTACACGGCGTTCAATGAAAAGGTAGCACGTTCATTAACTTCGGCACTAACTTAACTCTGAAATGGAATAAGAATCTAGTTAACACCTAAACTCACGAGAGTTTCCACTGGCGCGATAACAATGCCCATCGGACCCAAACAGCTGAACAGTTGCCCGGCATCAAGTTTCATTCCAGAGTTATCGACTTGTAACAAGTTACGTGACCCAGCCGGCGCATTCGGGAGCCTGTAACGCTGATCAGGTTTACAGTCCACTAAACCGTACTTCGTTGGCCGTTTAATAAGGGTTTTACGTCCTCCATACGTGCCTTCTTTTATTCAGGATCGGAGCCGAAATGAACCTGGGGGAGAGGCTTGTCATCATCCGACTCGTAACCAGAGCGAAAGAGTAATTCTCATTTCGGCGGGCGTATAATCGGCGGCGGCGGCGATCCTCTTTTATGCAAATATCACTTAAGCAGCCGTTCAATTCACCCTTTTACATTTACGGGGAAATCAGCGGCTCTCGATGTTATTGTTCCTGCGAGAGGGTGGGCGGGGCGGACGCCAGCGGCAGACAAAGGGCCACGGGATCCTTGACGCGGCGCCTTCCTGTCACCTCGTTTAAAGGACTATTTGCATGGACTTGAAACGCGGCGAATCAGAATTGCGCTCGTATTCATTGTGAATGCGCATTTAAGCCGGAAGTCTTAGGACATAACGAACGGGTCGTCCGTAGGGAGCCGCGTGTACCAGTTCGCGCCGAACTTTTCGGCGAACGGCGAACGGCTGCGAAAGAATAAGGATGAAGGACGGGAGCAGGAAGTTGTCATTACGCAAATTTAAGGCAGGAGTATAACAGACGCGAGGAATTTTACGCTTCCCGTTTGCTCCGGGGAGTTCGCTCGTAAAAATGGTGCCTGTATTAAAACACATTAAGTCCACCTGCCGGTAGTTTTTGCCCGTATCTACGTACGGTGTTTTACTACTGATGCCAAAAATTTAATAAGTTCATGCAAATAAGGCCCTTATGTAAATCTGTAAGATTTCATGGCCGGCCGGATCTGCGGATCGCCGTACATATTTTTCGGCCGCCCACCTCTTATTACCATGGTAAATTTCCCTCCTGCAAGCGGGGAAAACTCGCGCAGCCGCACGCCACGGGTAGAGGAAGGGGAAAAAAGGAATTCGGAATTTGATTCACTCGGCGTTTCCGTAAGACTGGACTCCTCGCCGGCGAATCTTTCTAATGGGTAGAACCACCTGCTAGACGGAACATATTTTTGTGTCAGTTTCTCCGGTGAATTTTAAATTGGAGAGAAGGAACGTGTGTCGCGTGAAAGCGGAGCGGAAGAATTTTAGTCTCTAATGCGAGGTGGCGGGAAAGGGTTCGTTGCTCTCGCAAATGTATCAAGGAAAAGTAACGCTGGCTTTCGTCACGGGAGTCATACGATTCTATGGGGATCCGTTTCTTTCGTGTTCCTCTATGAAAACGGAGGGTTTCGAAGCTGCGACAGTATCGAAGAATATACATTCGAAGCGTCTTGCAGCGTCCGTTCAATTCCCCACAAAAACTGTCTTCCGGCGAAATCAAAAATCCCTGGCAACTTAAAGTTTCGCCCGAAAGTTTTCCATCGAGCTCGAGGTATCTCCGTTCAAATCTGCCCGTCCCCGAACTTTTCATTTCTCTGTAATATACAATTCCCCTCTTCAAAAGAAGTTCCTCTGAAAAAAATATCAGATCTCAGCACATTCTGTCAGAATCAGTCCGGGGGATCGGGATTCTCTTTGAAACACGCATTCCCTTATTCGTTCGGATGAGGACATCGATGGAAGTAGAAAGTAGTATCTTACAGGTATTGGGGAAGGAAGATGGAGGGGAAATAAGGGCGAAAAGATAGGAAGAGGGGAGGAAGAAGAGCGAAACGACCAAGAGGAAGGGAAAAATAAAGAAAGGGTAATGGCGTAACTTTATCTACAGGCAGAAGCGGCCCTCCGGTTCGATTTTGCGCCAGTCACTAAGTTACCTGATCTGCTCTCCATTGTCTTGTGATAACTTCGCCATACCTGGCTAAGGATTTTCTTAGATACACCGCCTCCGTCCCTGTTCCGGAAGATCGGGAGGAAAGACGGAGCATAGGGCTTAAGTCGAGAAACTTTTCTCAACAAGTCGAACTCCCTCGATTCGCGGGGGTGTTACGAAAGTCGTATATCCGCGAAATGATCCCGGTCGCTACTTCAGCGCGACTCCTGATACTTCAATGAGGAAACAATGCCGCTTCTCGATATTGCAGCTTTAAAATTCTTCCGCGTTAGGCGCACACAAATACATCGTGAAGATCGGAGATGTGTAGATAATGACGCGGAAGAGTTTATCGTTCGTTATAGCAATGAGTTACTCCTTAATGATCGCAGGAGTATAAAATCAATCGTTCTAGAGACTACCAGAATTCTTGAGCCATCTTGAACCACCTCTTTGAATGACATCGCAACTCACGTAACCAACCTTCTGGCTAATCGAAGTTTAAGCCAACCACCACACCCAAAGTATTTTCATTTTCGACCCTGTGCAACTTTGCTTTAGAATCTGGATCAACCTCAGACTGTTGATAGTCTTTAGATTTAATCCTGATAAGATCTCGACTGTAGAGTCTTGGGAGTGCTGGGTTGCCGGGATCTCTGGCGCTTAGTGATCCTCCAGTCACATAGATCCCTTATTTCTGGCATCTGACATCTTGATTTGATAGTTTGGTCCAATTTGGAACTAACCAGATTTAGATCCTTCAGAATCCCATCAATATTAGGGCGATGGTTACCCGAGAGTCTGTCGACTTTTCAGATTGAACTTCTACGACTTTTCCTTTCGTAGCATCTGGATATTATATTCTGGTCACGAGCTAAACAATAATTAGTTTCTGATAATCAGTGGTGGAAATTTTATCTGAATAATATCTAAATCCAGGGATCACGTTACTTTTATTTTCTTCTTTGGACACTTGAATGCTATAATGTGGACCACTTTTTGAGTCACCACGTGGACGTAGTAACTTTTTCACTTACACCATTAGTTACAAGACACCGTCTACGTTTACAGCAACACGCCATATACAGTACAAGAAAGATGTGAATGGTTCTGCAGCGATGCGACGGTAGCGAATGACTAAATGTCCCATTGTGAAAGGGTTCTTTACGGTACTGTTCCCGCATTCGCGCGTACGTAAACACGTGTTCACGAAGTCACTGGCCGATCGATCGCGCGCGGTGTCATGGAACAGATGTTTCGTACGGCCAGGTGGCAGGACGTTTGCGCAATCCGAAACAAACGTGCGATCAACATTCTGCAATAGGATTTCATTATTAAATTAATGGAAAGTTAAATCGAGCAAACCATGTCGTGAATTACTATGACTGTTTTCGGATCACCTCTTTATATAATTTCCCGTAATTAATTATGAGCCTGAATGGACAGCGCCGCTGGAAACAGCAGGGCCAGGTCCCTCGAGTCTTTACAATCGTTAGCGAATATACTTCGCAACAACACTTTGCAGTAAATGTTTTCAATTCAACCGTGCGTTACCGTTAATTCAAAAGATAATTAATACATGAAACTCTTTATTCGAGAAATTGGGTATTTGGCGTACGCGGGAGTAGAAAATGAATTCCATTGGTATACAGATGTAAAATTCAATTCCGTCTTTCAATAATTCTTTCTTTCGAATAATGATATTCTGTGGTAGTATCGTAAAAGTGTTTTCAAATGACTCAATGTCAGCTTAAAATTTAGCGAACAACAGTTCCTCCCGGAAGAGAATCGGCGAACATTTCTTCAGACATTTTTGTTGAGAATTACAATATTTTACCAGTACACGAGCTAATGTGATTTCTACTGAAAATACGTGTCGATTGAAACGATAACATTAATAGTTTGTTGTTTCTTCTAAAATAACTTTTGGAAAATTTTGAAATAGTTGGAATAGTTCGGCGTATAAAAACCTGGAAGGAAAAACAGGCGGAATTTATTTTACGGGCAGCGACATGTACATTGACGCGTTTTTAGCGAAGTAGCATGACGAGGCAACGTGCAAGCTCATCGAAACTTGAAGTGTTCTTTCTTGTTTTACGAGACAGAAAACAGCTTAGATACTTAAGTGGTAATTTGTCAGAGGGAACAGGGACGAGCTATAACAAGTTACACGAGCTGGAACTTTAAAGTAATGCTCACCAAGAGTTTCGTCCTAAAATTGATAAAACTTTGTGTAATTATAAAAAGAGCGCAGTTTAAAGACACCGTGGTCGATTTACATCATTCAGAAATGTAGTTTAAGTAGTACATGATCGTCATGTCCGAACATATATCTGTATCAGGATGAATAGTACTTCTAATTTATTTAATTTTCACAATTTTGGACAATTCGAATTATTTCGAACAGATTGACTTTTAAATATTCATAGCAGACATGATACGTATTATCGTTAAAACATACATACGATTGTAAAGTTTATTATTACAGTTTACTGTCGCACATACTAATCGCTATATGTTAGTCACGACAAGACGATTTTAATTTCTCGAATAGTCGCATAAACAAGTGGATATCAAATGTAAATATTTCCGAATGGTAATACAAAAAGTATTTGTCAATAAAGAAATAACGTGATACTGAACTTATCTTATCATTTGTTTTTTATTTTGACTTGAACATCGCGAAAAACTTTGAGAAATTCAAGTTAAAATATTCTCGTTCCATTCGGTATTACGTTATAAATTGAATTTTATTATTTTTCGAATGACTCACGCTTCTTTTCGTCCCACGTATTGATATAATCGTAGACAGTCACGTGTAATCGGTTTAACACAAAAACATTTTACGTGAACGTCGTTTTCCATAACCAAGTGTACAATAAAAACACATAAACTATTTGTTATAGCAAAGCCACGAATGGTGGTTCTATATAAAAAAACGAAAGTGCGAGTAAATGTTAATAGCGAATGAGAATTCATAACGAAGAAACATGTATCAAGGTTTCAAACTTATCCTTGTATTCCTTTCATTTATTTTCATGTCGGGATATTTCCTGACACCAGCCCAAGCGGTATGCTATTAATTTTAATGTGCTTCCTATTCCGACTTTTTCGATTAATAGTTTCAAAAGAAACAGTTGTAAATGTATTCTAAGATATTTCATACTTTCTTTTTAAGGATCCATCGAAATGTTCTACGTTCTATAGAAGAAGGTGTCAGTATCCAGAAATACAAAAGCTATGTCCGGTACGATAATTTCATTGCGTTTATAAATATATTATGTTAAGAATTATAACTTGTAAGCAAATTTAATAAGAATTTTTATATTTCTTATTCTTTAGGACGTGTGCAATGCTGGATAATCGACACCAATGGCTCCAAGGAAATGTTGTCTTTGTATAATTTAATTGATATCTACTATGTACAATTAAATATGAATGACAAATAAAGCATAATAAAATACATATGTATCACTATTTATAATCCTCCTGGAACATTTTAATTAAATTAATATTCGATTATTAAGAATTTCTAATTATATCACTTGTTATTGAACGGTGGATTTGTATATATGACTTGCAAGGATTTAAAAAAAATCAAGATTCTCCACTTTTGCGTTACATACCACAAAACACACATTACTGTGAGCGTACCTGCGACTATGACAACCAACCTTTCTTTGAAATCAATTTAAATGCTATTGTCGCGATGATAAGCATAATATTATAGCATAACTTATTTTATTTTACATTTTACTTTGACAACGTGGATAAAATGTTATCTCATAAGTCGTTCGCATGGTATCAGTCGTAGAAACTGTTCTTGCAATGCGGTTTTAAGTGCTCACGTTTTCATATATGAATGTTATAAATCTGTACAACAGTTTCATATAAAACGCTGAAAAAACCTGTAGCCTGTATTGAATTCTAAAAAGAAAAGAAGACATGTCGCAGATACTTGGATTTTATCTTCTTCTGATTTCCATCTTCTGCATGTCAGGGTGGCTAATGACACCCGCTCAGGCGAAAGTAAGAAAATAATTTCATGTTACTTGCATCTTGAACACATAGAATTCGTTATTCTAAATTCAAAATAACTTACCTTAATTTTACTTTCTAGTGCTCTGACTATTTGAACTGTCATCATTCGTTTGCAAAACTTGTCTGCCCGGTACAGTGATATATACTTCCTTTTTTGTCATTATTCGTGATGATCTGGAAATTCATTGTTTTTTAATATATTTTTCTCTTTTTCTCAGGATTCATGCAAGGAGAAATTAGCAGGATAAAGGAAAATAATGTGAAATTACATGACATTTTGCATCATCGATGTAAACTTTATTTGTCAACACTTTATTGTTGTATTATAATCACATGTTAACATGAAATAAAACTTTCTGCACTATTAATGGAGTCTAATCCTATTATTTCACCTTTATTATTTCAAAGTAACGATATTTATTCCCTTTTCCCAGGTGTCTGTGGAATTAAAATAAATCAACCACCATCTTACAGCATTTTTTAATCATTTTCTCACTAATACTGAAATGGCTAACAGGTATACATTTTGCAACAAATTTTCCAAGACTAAATAAGTTGCAATAGTTTGTCCTATGAAAGAATATTTAAATATTCACGAAGATGCATGTAATAAGTAGCTACAACGATTGTAATTATTAAAAAATGATGTGGAAATAAAATGGAAATGTAATTGTCTACGTTCTTGTATATCTGCAGCAAATATAGTCTTGGATTATGTGGAACAAGCACGTATATGAGCGATTTATTTATTTAAATCTCATTAATGATGCATCAATTCTCCAATATTGTAATTCAGAAGCGACTTTATTAATTTAACAGGATAAATAAATGTTCATCAAACATTAAGAAGACAAATACAAATTATCACGTAGCTAATTTAATAAATAATGAAGACACAGATAATATGAATTAATTGTTTAACATATGTTTTAATATTAATTATTTGTTAATAAACTTATGTTACTTACATATATCTTATTAGCCATAAGGAACTGATTTTGACATTCAAATATGCTATAAAATGCTTCTTGCAATTTAACGCATTCTTGTGATTGCAGTTTGCAGATATCACCTTACTCGATATTTGCGCATAAAATAACACGTAAGATAAAAATAAAATTATAGAAATCATAAATGCAAAAATTTTACCATTCCTTGAATTCCTTTATCTTCCACCACGTTTCTTAACATTGTGTACGGCCATAAACTTATCGTACATCGTGCCCACCGTATTTTGATTTAATTACTTGCGCGTGCCACAACCTCGAGCAAAATGTGTGTATAAAACAGAAGAAACAACTGTAGGCGACAATCAAACAGTCTAGTAGTGGACGAAGTGTACAACATACGAAATCATGAATCATCAAATAGTGTACTTTTTGTTCCTATGCATGTCCTTTGCTTTATTATCAGGATATGAGGTAGGCAACACAGGCCGGTAAAAGTTAAAATATTTTTTATTCTTTTTATATAATATTCGAAGTGAATATATGTTTTCCATTTCTTCCTTGCGACGAATGAACATCTTTTAGCTGCCGCCAGCATGCCGTAGTTTATCTCGTTCTCAACTATGTTCCAGCATGAAATATAAAGCGATGTGTAAGGTATGATCATGTTTAATTAATACCATTCACTAACCTGATTAAAACTCTCATTAAAGTAACTGAATTTTATTATATTTTATTTTAGCTGACGAATTGTTAATATTTTTAATCAAGAGGATTATTTTACTGACGCCGAGTTTGGTAAATTTATTTCCGATGTATTATTCAGCCGCCATGTAACACAATGGAAATGTAATTCTATTCATACAATTAATAAATAAATATTGTGCGCTGAGAATATGACAACGAGTTATTTGATTCACGATGTATCAATATGTCAATTATAAATATTGCTAGTGAAGTAGTACATACATTGATATTACATTGAAATTACTTTTAAATAATCAACAAAATTTTAGTACATGCATAGAAAGAAACAAAAAATATGACAAAATTGTTATCTTACGTTATTCCTTGTATAAATACTTCCCCTAATCTTCATTGCATTTTTAAGAATTCATATACTGTTTATTCGCGCAATTTCGGCCAGGCTTTTCGTATAAAAGAGGAAGAACAGCTGTTGGAATTGTTTACTGGTGAAGAATTTAAGAGTGTAGAATATAAAACCATGAATGCGAAATCATTCTTCCTTTTTCTAATTGTTTCCCTTATTTTAATGTCGGGATATTTTATTGCACCGGCGGTTGGGGTAAGTTGTGGTTCTTTCTAATTCAATACAACATTTTATTCAATTAATTTATTCTCTCCGTTTCTAAGTTGAATAAGTGATGCCGCCATTTTGTTTTCAGCTAGGAAAAGAATGCCGTACGTTAACTCGACGTATCCTTTGCCGCAGCACGCAGTTTAGGAGACGATGCGGGGTACGGACGCTTGATTATTTCTATTTTATCATTCTTACTATAAAAATTATAATTGTTTGTATTTTTTGTCTAGTTGGGATATAAGGAATGCAATATATACTGGGGGAAATGAGGCCAACGACATGATCAGTCAATGTATTTCAAATGTATGGCCTATACATTACACGATACTGTAACTGAATTTTAAAAATAAATATTGTTTCTTGGAACCCATCACTGTTTTTTATTCTTACAGTACCTCAAATGAAAATTTCCCTTGGAATGTAAACAATTTACGAACTTAAATATGAAAAAAATCTATCGGTTAAATTTAATTCCAATGTCCTCAGAATTAAACTAAAATACGATAAAGTTTTACAAAAAGTTATTGTACGGATATTACAGTAAAAATAATAGATAATAGATAAGCACGTTATTTAGTACATTTTTTACACATACAGGTATTATCATTGAAAATACCGCACTACCTTTTGAGAGTCACGCCTATATTTATAGCTTCCACAATTTCGACAATGTTGCCTACATAAAAGGAGGCAACAATTACAGTGGACATACAGTAACAAAAAACTAAAGAAATACACAATACAACATCATGAACGGAAAGTGGCAATTCCTTCTGTTATTTGTTTCTCTTATTTTAATGTCGGAATATATAATTTTACCAGTCATGGGCGTAAGTTATTTTTTTTTTAATTTAAATTATGTAATTTACTAAATTAATCTACGTTCTGTATTCCAAAACTGAAACTAATGATGTCCTTTCAAGGCCTGTAATACTTTATCCAAAAGAACTCTTTGCAGAAGCGATAAGTACAGAATAATGTGCAGGGTACGGATGTTTGATTATTTCTATTTTATCATTCTTACTATAAAAATTATAACCGTTTGCATTTCTTGTCTAGTTGACACGTGCGGAATGCGCACCTTACAGAGGGAAATGAGACCAACACCATAATCAATCAATGTATTTCAAATGTATGGCCTGTACATTGCATGATACTATAACTGAATTTCAAAAATAAATATTGTTTCTTGGGAACCTATCACTGTTTTTTATTCTTACAGTACCTCAAATGAGAATTTACCTTGGAGTGTAAACAATTTACGAACTTAAATATTCAAAAAGTCTACTGGTTAAATTTAATTCCAATGACTTCAGCATTAGATTAAAGTATGATAAAGTTTTACACAAAGTTACTGTACAGATGTTACAGTAAAAATAATCGATAATAGATAAACGCGTTATTTAGTATATTTTGAAATGGTCACGCATATATTTATAGCTTCCACAATTTCGACAATATCGCCTACATAAAAGGGAGCAGCAATTATAGCGGACATTCACTAACGAGAAACAAAAGAAATACACAACACAACATCACGAACAGAAATTCGCAATTCCTTCTATTATTCCTTTCTATTATTTTAATGTCGGGATATATCATTCCACCAGTGTTGGGCGTAAGTTATTCCTTTTTTTAATTTAAATTCTGTACTTGACTAAATTAATCTGCATTCTGTATTCCAAAACGGAAACGGATGATGCTTTTTAAGCATACTTTGCAGAAGTGATAAGTACAAAATAATATGCAAGGTGCGTTTCTGCAAATTTATTATTATCATAATATTTATTTTTTCACCTAGCCAAAATGTCAAATACATGGATAATGCCGAATGTGTGCGTGTCTAAGACTAATTAAAGTTAAACACCAACGCCATGGTTAACATGTCGCAAACGTGAAGAGTATGTAATTGAATTTAAAAATAAAGGTTGCTTACTGTAAACCCGTTGTTGTTTTCTATTATTACAGTATTTCAAAAGAATATTTTCCTTGGACGGAAAAAATATATATTATAAATAGAAAATATAGATCTGCGAAATTTACTTCGAACGACTTTAACGTTAAAGTGCAACACAATGTATTTTTCAATAAAATCATTCCATAAACATAATTCTAGAAGTAAGAAATATAAGATAATTGTATTACTTAATACTTTTCTTCCTATTAAAAGTTGTCGTCTAAGGTAGTACGTTTTAAGGTAGTCACGTACGTATCTATATTTTCTGCAATTCTGACAAGATTTTTCACACAAGAAAAATATACTTTCAGCGGAATTGGATTTTCGAGTATAGGTATATGTTTCGTAAATGCTATTTAAGGCACAATTATAAAGTTTACAATAAAGATATACGTGTCTATTTTGCATTCACGTAAAGCGTAAAATCCTTCATTAGAGTGATAATGGTCATGAAGAATACACATTGCACGCACGAATGTTGTCCCACCTACTCACGGATGTTATAATGTCGAAAATGTTTTTGTGTATATAAAGCGAAAGAAGCGAAACGTCTTAACGCAAGAGCGGTGACAATTTGACAGAGAAATTCCATAGTCACCTTTTCCTATTTGTTTGTGAATATCAAGAATTCAAAAAGGAATGATGACTCAAGCTATTAATATCCTTTTCTTTGTACTCTCTGTCATTTTACTCTCAGGCTTTTTGGTGACTCCCTCTGAGGGAGTAAGTAAACAATTTTGTTTTATTCGCATACAAATGTTTTTTGTTATGTATTCTGTACCATATAACTAAAATAAGAAAAAAATAACAGGAAAACAACTATTTAGCAATCGATTTCACGTTCATTATCATTTATATTATGTGTCTCTTTAAGGATTCACCAAGATGCGGAAATGGCTTACCTGCACAGTTTTGCGGTTCACCTCTCATGGAAGAAGTATGCCCGGTACTGTCAAAATTTCAAACAATATTAAACAATATTCATTGCATTTTATACATTGGACGTATTTAAATATCTTTAATAATGACTAGTAATGGAACATTGATGCTCATTTCCTTTTTTTTGTTTAATAGGAAATGTGTAGAAGACTAGGGCGAGGAAAGAAATAAGAATCAAGTGGGGTGTAATGAAAATAGGTTGATCACTGATCTTATCTGAATTCCTACTAAACATGTAAAAATGCGTTGGAAAATATAAAATTTCTGAATAAATACACAATGTTCGTGACTGATTATTTTACCTACTGTATATATTCCATCTCACCAAACATATTCAAGCGTATAATGACAGCGTATTAATATTTAGGAAAATATAATCATATCTTTTCCTTGAGTTTCTTTATCCTCCACCAGGTTCCGTATAAAAAATGTTTATAATTCAACAGTTATCGCAAAAAATATCCATTGTTTTTTTTATGTATTTATGTTATCTAAAGTTTTCACTATTTTCATCATACCCTCCACATAAAAGAAAACTAACACTCATTTCTCCGACAGTCATCATAAAATCCACTATCGATTCATAAAAATGGATTTTGGAAACTCAGTCAGTAATTTCTATTATTACTCAATTCTCACCGAATATTTGCAGTTCTCTTAATATTGTTCCATGGCCATCGCAACATGCAGTTAAAATTCTCTTGCCGTATCTGGCAATACATTTGTTTATTTGTCACCCGTGTTTACCGTAAAACTTAATTTCATAACCGCTATTTTCACAAACAATACGTATTGTACGCATGCATAATTACGAATACGATTGTCAATGTCATAACACCGACTCGAGTGGTGTATATATACAGCAGACAAAGTAAAGTACGTTTATAGAACAAAAGTACGGTGATAATTCGATACATCAGTCATGACTCACAAATTTAGCTTTCTTTTTCTACTTGTTTCTCCAATATTGATATCCGAATATTTCACGCCATCGATAGCGGTGAGTAAGGAAACGTTTTTATCTCATTATCGTATGTATATGAAGGAATTTTCACCCAAAAAATCTAATTTTCAAATCAGGTTTCACTTTGCCCAAGATTGCCCAAAAGATTCATATGTATGTTGGACCCAAATGTTACAGCAAAGTGTAAGGTAAGTCAACTCAATAAATTTATTAATTCATTGCACTTATATTTGTAAAAACGGTTATTACCCTTCATTTTAGTATAAATGTTAATTGGAACAATGTAGGCTGTTTTCACTCAGCTTTCAGAAGAATGAGAGTACTGCGACAATTGGACAAAATACATCAAATATGTTACACGTTTGGCAAAAATGTAATTGAATTAACAAATAAATACTATATACTGAAATTCTTTCGCTGTTTCCCATTGTTACTCTATTTCAAATGAATATTTGTGGTTCGTTTAATATTATTCCGTGACAATCACACGTGCAGTTAAAATGCGCTTTGCGTATTCAGAAATAAATTTTCTTATCCTTCACCCCCGTTTTCTGTAAAACATAATTTCATGACCACAACTGTCACGAACAAAACGTATTGTACGCATGCATGATTACGAATGCGATTATCAATGTCATAACACCGACTCGAGTGGTGTATATATACAGCAGACAAAACGGAGTACGTTTATAGAACCAAAGTACGGTGACAATTCGATACATCAGTCATGGCTCACAAATTTAGCTTTCTTTTTCTACTTGTTTCTCTAATATTGCTATCCGAATATTTCACGCCATCGATAGCGGTGAGTAAGGAAATGTTTTTACCTCAATATCGTATGTATATGAAGGAATTCTCACCTAAAAAATCTAATTTTCTAATCAGAATATACTTTGCCCAATATTACCTAAACACATGACGTGTTGGAAGAACCCAGCTCTTGCAGCAAAGTGTAAGGTAAGTGAACTCAATAAATTCATTAATTCATTGCACTTATATTTATAAAAATGTTTATTATCCTTCATTTTAGTTTAAATGTTAATTGGAACAATGTAGGCTGTTTTCACGCAGCTTTCAGAAGAATAAGAGTACTGCGATAATTGGACAAAGTACATCAAATATGTTACACGTTTGGCAAAAATGTAATTGAATTAACAAATAAATACTATATACTGAAATTCTTTCGCTGTTTCCCATTATTACTTTATTTCAAATGAATATTTGTGGTTCGTTTAATATTATTCCGTGAAAATCACACGTGCAGTTAAAATGCACTTTGTATATTCTGAAATAAATTTTCTTATTTTTCACTCCTGTTTTCTGTGAAACATAATTGTATGACCACAATTGTCACGAACAATATGTATTGTACACATACATCACTATCTATGCGTTTATCAATGCCATACCACTGAAGGTGATTTTGTATGTATACAGTAGATAAAATAGAGTATGTTTATACAACCACAACGCAGGGGTAATTCGATACACCAGTCATGGCTCACAAATTTAGCTTTCTTTTTCTACTTGTTTCTCTAATATTGATGTTCGAATATTTCACTCTATCGATAGCTGTGAGTAAGAAAATGTTTGTTTCTCATTATCGTATGGATGTATATGAAGGAATCCTCAGCAAAAAGAACAAATTGTCAAAGATGTCTTCTCTTTCAATGATATGTAACGTAAGTCAACACAATAAATTCATTAATTCATTGCACTTATATTTATAAAAACGATTATTACCTTTCATTTTAGGTTAAATGTTAATTGGAGCAGTGTATGCTATTTTTAGAAGATTGTATATAATTTATATAATTTCTACCGTATAAACTATATATTCAATTAAAATACAGAAAATTTGACTGAGAATTTCCTCGAATAAATATAAACTATCCTATCATTTTTTTTACTTCTTTACCCCTTATCATGTCACACACGATTCTCTTTAAAATTCAAAAATACTGATTGCTTCTATTAATATTTACGTAATCTACATTTTCCAATATTTTCGTTATATTTTTCATATAAAAAAGATGGATCGTGCCGCTGCCGTAATAATGGCAACAATTCTAAAGATACTGTTTGATAATACTTATAGTTTAAAAATATAATATAAGTTTTAGTACATGTATAATTTCACATTTTAAACAGACACTATAAAAAAACAAATGATATTTATGAATTACCGGAAATGTATGATCTTCTATGATGATATTCTATGGTCATGAAAAGTAGTATTTACTGTTATAAAATAGTCGCATAAACCGAATCATATTTTTAAGTATTTGCGCGTCTGTTTACGACACAATTTCGGCATATTTTTACATATAAAAAGAAAACTACGCGAATGCCATTGCAATTTTCTGGGAAAAATGCATGGGATTTAACTCATGCAATCATGAACCAGAAACTCAATCTTCTGCTTTTAGTTGTTGCTCTCATTTTGATGTCAGGGAACTTCGTAGAATCAGTATGGGTAAGAGATGATGTTCCTATAATTTATTCCGTTTGTCGTACATGGACCATTTTGCATTCACGTTTCTTCGTATCATAATTCGTTTTAATGGAACCCGAGGCATGCAGAAAGTTAGTATAGTGACTTTGTTCAAGTATGAAATATCGCAATATGCGCAGAGTATTTTCACGGTTATTCTTTTCTGTCAACTGATATACGTACCGTCCTTTCTTAGAACAAACGCCCATAGCGACGTTGAAATTTTACTCTTGGAAAAGAATACTTAATACAATTGTTACTTGTGTTCCAAATGCGATAATTAATGTAATAAATGAAATCAATTGTAGTAACCGTTTTATATTTACATAAAAAGATGAAATTTGTGGTATAAATCATGTCCACTATACATATTATATGTAACATTCAAAATGTTAAAACGTTGGCAAAGAAGTTAAACAAATAAATAAAATTAATTTCATATTATTTCGTGCAAATGCAATTCGTAGCTTAGTGTATTTTGTTATTATTTTGTTCGTGATCATTTACATGATAAATATCATAAATGAAGTCCTTCGTGTGAAAATGGGGAATATGTGCAACTGTCAAAAACTAATAAAACAGTGATAATGCTTCCATTTACAAATTTCCATCACGTTGGTCACGAAAGACTGTGTTTATTGTCAAACGTTATCATATATTACATTTTTACAACTTCGCTATAAAGCTGTAAAAGACTGTTTCGTTATAAAAGAACAAAAGCAAATGCAACTACAGTTGAGTAATAAAAACGCACGAAATTCTGCTGTTATTAGTTTCTCTCATTTTAATGTGAGCGAATTTTATGAAATCTAAGATAAAAACGTAGAGTTCCTTTAATTTATGCATTTCATCGTATCCAACGGAACCGGTCTGGTACTGTGATAATTATTTTCTCCTATGAATCAATGATTACGTTTCGTAATCAAATAACGTTTCCAATATAATGAGTTTCACGATTCTGAACATAATAAGCACCGCTGAAAATGTAATTGGATGTAAATGTAATTGGACTTCCAGACCACGAAGACAGCATTAAACAAACGTTTTATAAACCCATAAGTGAATCTACTACTGTAATATAAGTTAATATAAGTTTTAATTAATTAATCGACCTAAGTATGTAAATACAAATCAACACAAGGAATCAAAACGAATCCTTCAAGTCCTTCAAGTGGAAAATCTAACGATTACTCCGCACGTAAATGCAAAAAATCAGCGCCACTCATCAGTCTGCCATATTCCAAAAAATTGTTAACAATTACCGAAATTGATCGCGTTGTTCAGCGAACGGTTCAATTTTACCCGCGAAATTGTGATTCGATGATCTACGAAATTGAACCCTCGCGATCAATGGTCTCAACGGCCCATCTAAGTACTCGCTTAATTCCGCATTTAACCCTTCTCCGGCTCCTCCTCGACCCGCGAACGTATCAGTATTTCATTTCACTTCCCATCGACCCGGTTACCGCCGCTTTTCGGTAGTTGCTCCCGAGTTCGGCGTCGCGAGGACCGAGTTTCCGCGGGTGCACGCGATGAGGCGAATCGCGAGCTCGGAATAAGGAAGATTACAAGTCGCATCGGCGCCCGGCTACCATCTGGCCTCAGTTTCTCCGGGCGTATTACTTTCTGTTTTCTTGAAAACGCCGCCGCGTCGTCGGATGCGCGCGGTACGCGATACGACAGCCGCACGCGCGGCCCGCACTCTGTAACCGGCAAGATTTTCATGAATATTCTTTAGGTTACATTAGTCCGCTTTATAAATATTTATTAAGCCGACGGATTTTACTATCTCCGACAAATTAAGCTTTCCAGCTGCCTTAACCCTTTCCGGTTTCGCGTAGCCGGGGCGGTGCCCGCTGGAAAGATGCAATTGGAATAGTAATTTCATACCGCGATCTGCATCGCGCCGGTATCTCGACTCGACTCTCGGGGTATTTAATATTCTGCACAATGAATTTATATTTTCTATTACGGCCTTGGGTGGACTGTGACGCGGACATAGCTACGGTCTGATCTAGAGCCCTCTCCTCCGAGGGAACAGTCTTTTACGTTTAACCAACATCGGAATGTAAGACTCGCAATGATTACTTTCTCTTTTGTGGTGTTAGGGAAATAATAGGTAGCATTTTTTGTCGTCTATAAGTGGTCTGAGATGAGGAATAAGTTAGAAACGGTCCTTCTAGTGATGAATATTGATAAACGATTGAGAGTTTCGATATTTTGTGATAGAAGAATCGTTGAGAGTATTGACACATTGAAGTGATTGACGCCTTTGCCGATATTACCTTAGATCTGGTGATCGATAAATTGAAACGGAACAAGCGGACTGTATTCGACAATTAGGCAAATTCAGCTCCGGTTTTGTAACATAAGTTTCGAAGTCGATTAGGGTAATTGTGAACTACACAAGTAATCCATAATTAACATTAGAATTGTTAAATTGCTTAACGTTTATTGGCAACGTGTTATTTAATTTGCCCTGACGTTCATTTCTGTTACAATGGAAAATGTCTCTTATATTTTAAAACTGTCCTCAGCCAAGGCGCATCCACCCTGTTGAATGCCGTTCAGAGTCTGGAGCCTAATAAATAAATAACACCAAAGTAATTATTATTTCATTGGTTGATAGTTGTGGATTAAAATCTACTGCGAAGAATGTACTCTATCTCTCAGAAATATTCGACTCCTAAGAATATTCGCAATTTATCAAGAAAAAAAATAAACACACAATCCAAAAGTGTACATTGCAATTTTTATGTTATAGTTTTATTTACAACAGAGAACATAATTCATTTTTTGAAACTGAGCTCAGCCAAAGCGTGGTTGTGGTATTAAATCTGCCTCTCTACGGTCTCGAGTCTAATAAATAAATAATACCAAAATAATTATTATTTCGTCAGTGGTCATTGATAGTTGTGGATTAAAATCTACTGCGAAGATTGTACTCGATCTCTCGGAAATGTTCGACTCATAACAATATTCGCAATTTATCAAGAGAGGAAATAAACATACAATGCAAAAGTATACATTGCATTTTTTATGTTACAGTTTAATTTACAACAGGAAACATAATTAATTTTCTGAGACTGTGCTCAACCATAACGTGTTTGTGGTATAAAATGTGCCTTCCTACGGACTCCAGTCTAATAAATAAATAATACTAAAATAATTACTATTCATTAGAGGTAGTCGATAATTATGGATTAAAATCTACTGTCAAAACATACTCTACCGCTTAGAAGTATATAGTCTCAATAATATTCGCAATGTACAAAAAAAACAGAGTCGAAATACAATGCAGAAATATGTATTCCATTTTTCACAATATTAATTTTTATTTATAGGAGAAAACATTCTATTTTCTGTCGCTGTGATCAGCCTAAACGAGGTATATATCTTCTCTCGTGATCTGGAATCTATAAACGTATGGATAGCAAAATGATTATCAGATATTTCTAAACGATAGCATATATAGTGTACAGTTTTCAGACGGAGAAATATTGTCAAATGGATTAGTTACCGCTTCGGAAGGCGCGACATAGAAAGCAGACATGAAAAGCACTGAAAGTGCTAGAACAGCGAGCTTCATTTTCTGAAACATGATTTTCTTCCTGCGGAATTCTCTACTTCGTTGATGTGTATACACGTTTTCGAGTCTTATATATGCGACAGCAACGCGGACAC